ATATTTAATTTTTTTTTTTTAATATTTTTAATTACAGTTAAAACTCACTATTTAATAGAAACTGTATTATTAACTGGACTCCGATTATATAAAGGCTCATACGCTTATGACTAACCCTACGTGAATTTCAATTATAAACAAAACAATTAATACTAATTGCAAAATACATAAATTTTGATTTACATACCAATTTATTTTTACAAATGCTATACATACCGATAGATAACTGAAAGGTGAAATACCTTAATGAAAAATGTTTTAAATATCTGAAGAACTATTTGAGGAACCACACCCATTTTTTGTGCGAGTGTATTTGTGCATTAGCCAGAGAGGAAAGGACTTAAGGCCCCAATGCAAGTGGCTGGCACATTCGAGTGCTTGCCGGGGGATGGGGAGAAGGGTAGGAGAGGGCATGCGAAACTGGGAAAGTGGAAATATGGAAAAGTGGGCCGTGCGTGGCAAACTAACTAAGTAGCACTTAAGCCCTGCGGTAATTGCCCCAAACACTAATTGCAGCATTTGCGCTTATCTGCTGTCAAAGGGGATTAAGTTAATGGTTGGCACCCTCCAGCTGGCTTTAACCCTGCCCACTAATTGTGGCACGCGCTTAAGAGCCCATTTAAAAATCAATTTGTATCATTTTCAGCCAAAAATATTCTTAAAATTGCCAAAATTAGCATAAATATATAGGTTTATACCAATTAACGCTACAGCTTAATCGATTTAGCACATTTAAAACAAAGTTAAAGCAAATCTAAATACCAAACGGAAGTCGTCTTTAAAGCGAAAAGTTAATTTAGTTTTTGGCAAAGTTTATTAAATTTGAAAGCAAACGTATTTTAGCGCCATCTAGCGAATGGTGCCTTACAGCTATTGCGAATTTAATCTCATGACGCAGCCAACTTCACATTTAATGTTACACGCACAGAGAAGTCAGCAACCCCTACAAAAGGCTGCACCAGTAAACAGCATAAGCCAGCTTAACAGTGCTGTTAAGTAAGCAAAGACACGCACCAAAACATCGCCAACGAGCTGGCAGCGCTGGCCATTTGGCGCCAAAATGTTATATCTGAAATAAAATTTTCGTATTTAATTTTTTCAAGTATATTAATAAAATGCATTTGGTTTTCAGTTCAGGGTTTTGTCTTTATATTTAAAATGTACATATCCTTTTCAATAATATTGCCTTTTTTGATGCAAAAATAAGCTTTGCTTAAAATAATCATTATATAATAAGGGGATGTTTGTTTTTGTTTTGTTTTTCATTTTGTTTTTGTTCAGTGTTTGTTCATTGGTCGAGGGGAGGGGTTAATTAAACGAATAAGCGTAAATTGTACCTAACACAAGTTTTCAACTTTCAACTCTTAAGCTTAACATAGCTAAAATATATAAATGTATATATGTGTGTGTATGTATGTATGTATGTTTGATGATTGTGTGTGTGTGTGTATCTTTAGCCTGTTTCTGCTTATCAACTAGTGAGGGGTATGGGGAGGGGATGTGGGCCGCTTAAATTTTTATGACATTAATTTTTCATTTTAGATTATAATGCACATTTCTTGTTACGTTACACAAATTCAAACTAAAGCTCTAAGTTAATTGAACTAAAATGTTAAAATTTTCATATATAAAAAAACAAGTAAACAAAAATTGATCAAAGAAAAGAACGAACTTAAGTTTCAGGAGAAAGAACGTTAAAATCTTAAAATTTACATCAGCGTGTGTGTAGGGGATTCAGTGTATATGTTTGTGTGTGTGTGTGTGTAGCTTTACAATTAATTCTTAACTAAAATTAACAAATCAAAATCAACAAAATCAACTTAAAAGGTGTTTCTCTTTATAAATGAAATAAATACCCAACTCTATCTCTATCTCTGTTTCTCTATTTACAAATACGAGTGATTTTCTGCGGGCGTTGCCACCCAGTCGTATAAATGATGAAGAAGCAGCCGCATCTACAGCATCAGCCGCGAACGCGACTTCTTAAAGCGACCCGTTGCAGCGCCTCCAGCGCCCCCATCACCATTCCAGGACTTGGACTTGGCCCGGAAATGTCTGTAGGCCTCATTGTAGGCCGGCTCCAGCATCGGGCGATACGCGCTCGGCTGGCAGAGCTCCGACTGTGTCTCGAAGAACTCTTTGTAGCCGTTGTGCAGCAGATAAATCTCCGGATAGTGCAGGGCCGGATACGCATGCGTGTTGCGCTCCCGATCCAGGTTGCGCAGGAAACGCGACATTTTTGGGCCACGCTCCGACGAGAACTCACAGTGGAAGATGATGATGTGGCGCTTGTTGCCGGCGGCGGCATTTTGCTGCTGCTGCAGCTCAGTCTGTGTCGCGCTCAGGAACTCCTCAAGGATCTGCTCGTGGGTGTAGAGGTTCTTGGCGCCTCGAATATGCCCGCCATCATATTCGTACGGATAGCGGCAGTCGATGATGCGATAACTGGCTACCTGGTGATCGAACTTGCCGTTCAACAGTTGCGCCACCGTCTCGCTGGAGATCGATTTGAGATCCCGGTGACGTCCCTCCATCAGTGGCAGGGCGTACGTCTTGCTAAAGTCGCCAATTAGCTGCGGCTCATTGTGATTCTCCGAGCGTGCCAAAGCGGACATGATTTCAGCATCATTGAGCGACATGCTTTTGCGCAGAGGAGGTGGGTGGGTTGATGTGGTTGTAGCTGTGGCAGTGGCAGCGGTGGGGCAGTTCTCCTTCTCGACGCAGCGGTGACGCTTGCTCTGGATGGGTGAGCAGCTGGCCGATGCGGGCGGTTCGGGACGCTTGAAGCAATCCCGTGCAGTCTCTGACGTCTTTGGTTGCTGTTGTTGTTGTTGTGATAATGCTAGCTGATTGCTATTCGTCTCTGTCATACTGAGGCAACGACGCACCGACGGACGACGCATCATCATGGTCAGGGCCTCCGGCGATTTGGGCGGCACCTTGATTTGCCCGCTGATCAGCGAGTTAAGCCCGCTGGGCAGTGTGAGCGAGGAGGATGGGGTTGGTTGTTGGACGCCAGCATAGGATTCCATTTCGAACAGCTCCATGTACTCATCATCCATGGACGACTCCATGGAGCCCGACGAGGAGAGGCTGTTGAATATGCGAAAGCTGCGCGCAGGTGTAGCAGCGCTGCCAGCTGCCGCTGCTGGGGTTGCCACCGGCTGTTGCTGCTGCAAGAGCTTGGGCTGGCGGATAATTTGAAAACGCTGCGGCGAGCCCTCGGGCGAGAGCAGACCGAGCAACGCCGGGCTGACCGAGCGCTGCGACGGCGACGACAACGGCAAAGCGTCATCGTCGTAGAACGAAAGCTCCTCCTCAGCATCCATAGCCATGATGTTGTTCATGTTGTTGTTGGTGTTGGTGTTGTTGGTCAGCGCACGGCGAACGCGGCGACTGCTGTTGTTTTTGTTGTTCATGTTGCTACAAAGGCAAGAGGAAGAGAGAGCGAGAGAGGGGGAGGATTAGTCAACTGAATTTCGTTTGCTTCCTGCTGCTGGTTGCGCTGCTGCCTAAACTGTGGCGGGTCATTAAACCCGCAGCTAAAAATACGCGGCGGTGGCGGTGGCGGCAGTGGTGGTGTAGAAAAAACAACAACAAGCAGAAGAGGAAGAAGCAGCAAGCAACTGCGAGGGGTTGTTGGGCTCATTTTCCATGCGTGTTGTTGTTGTCTCTCTCTCAGTTTAATAAATAAGGAAATTTGAATTAGAACTTAAAACGTCTCCGCCCCTTGCCTTTTTTGCGGTACTCTGCACGGAATTTCCCTTTTGCACTCGTTCCGCTCGGGCTGTTTGCGTCAGCGGTCAAATGCATCTGCACTTTTGACGACATTTTGGGTCACGCAAGACGGCCGCAGCACAAGCAAAAGCAGAAGAAGAAGACGAAAAAAGCATAAGCAATCGTTATTAGCCGACTGCGGCATACTCTCTACACACTCTCTACCAACTACAAACAGGTCGAAATGACAACTTGAAGTGCTTGAAAAATATACTCTTTTGCATTTTACGAACAGTGTATACAAATTGACAGAGCACAGTTGCTGTTGTTGTTGTTGGAGCTGAGCGAGCTTCGCGGAAGCCGGTTTAATGAATGAAAAAGCAACAGCAACAGCAACAATAACAACAGCTGAGCGCCACAGCCGAAAAAAACGTGTCGTTCGCTCGTGTGGAGCGTGCAAAAAATAATGAGAACAAAAAACATTTTTACTCTTACTTTTGTTCAACTGTATAAAGCAAAGCAGCGCGGTCGACGCCGGCGAATGCCTTGCGGCTGCTTCTCAGTGCCGTTGTTCACAGTTGCTTTCTGTATGTTTGTATATACATGCATATGTGTGTGTGGGCTTTGTTACTGCTGTGGTTGTTGTTGCTTGCCACGATCTGTTCAAGTTCAAGCGCGGTGCTTTTGTTGTTAAAATTTACTTGCACTTTTCTTTTATTACATTATCTATGCTATCCTCATTCCTATGCGCTCTATGCTTCACATCTAGTACTTGAGTGATAATTACCTGATATTGCAATCCATGGCGCAATTGTTCTCTTCGGCAATTGATTCCCACAGCATTTTGAATTAGTTAATTTATTTATTTTGTAGAAAATACCGCAAATATTATTTGGCTATTTCGGTGGAAGAATTTCAACTCGTGAATGTTTTCCGATTCTCTTTTGGTGATCTTTTTGAAAATTGCTAAAACACAATTCTCACACGTCTCTTTTGCTGGCACATTTACAGTTAATTTGTTAGTTCGTTTCGTTTTCGTTAGTTGCGACTTTGCACTTGGTAGTCCTTCGTTGAATTTGTTGTTTCATTTGTAAAATGTATTTGTTAAAAACTAATATTGCATTTGTTGTTGCAGATAGTATATGTGTTTATTTTTGGAGTTTTGCATCATTCTTATTATTATTGTGTCCGTTTTAACATTATTGCATTTGTTTGTAGTTGCACGTACTTTGTGAGTTCTTTGTGTGCTGCGTTTTGTATTAATATTTTATATCCCAATCGTTTTAACACAAACACACACACAAATTTACTTCACTACCGTACGAATGGCAGAGAGAGGGAGAGCAGCTCGAGGCGCAGATGTTGACACGACGACGAACAGAAAATAAATGTAGTTCTCGAGCCGAGCGCAGCTGGTTTTAAAGAGCTGCGGCCGTCGATGCAACCCCCGCTGCCGACGTCGCTGCTCTTTTGTGCGAGCAGCAGCAGCAGCAGCAGCACGTATAACGGCAGGAGCAGGATCGAGAATTGAAGCAGCCCAAGGAGAGAGAGCGAGAGCAGGAGCGAGAATAGCAACAGGAGCGGGAGCAGCAGCTACATACATACGTCCGTGCATATGTATTGGACAATTTCCCATTTACCATATTCTTCTATTTTCAATACCAATACCAAATAGCAAAACGCAATGAGGCGAAATGGGATGGAAGACATCGGAAAATCTCTGCAGTTGGAGCGATCGTTCGATCACTGGCCAATGCCAGTCCCAGTACCAGTGCCAGTGCAACAGGTAGCTCTTAATAATTTCCCCTACCCAATGCGCGGCCGGAGCACTATTGAATACGAAAATTTTGGCGCGCGAGCTTTTATAGCGCGAAGCGCGTCGTCGCCGACGCTGAGCGCCAAACCGATAGCCGAGTGGGCCCCGATTGGCGGCCGAGCAGCGATTCGTGTGGAGGCCGAAGCGAGAAAAAACACATGTGATTTACGTTGCTACCAAGTGACTGGGACCAGAGCCAGAGCCTGGAGCCGGCGGGCTCCTCAGCCTGCGTCTGCAGGCAGCGTGCAAATCTTTAAGCAGAATTGAAGACACAGACGGCAAAGGCGACGACGACGATGGCATCGACTGTGCGGCATCGATTGTGTCGTTCGCAGGTAATAATGTGAGATCCACGCATTCCGAGACGCCTGCCCGCCCTGTCGGCCCCCTTGACCCACCTTAGGCGTACATCAGCAGGTAGTCGTTGTGCCAGGTCCCAGTCATATGATCGACACTGTGCTCTTTGGGGGAGGTGGAGCGGGGCGTGGCTCTTTTGTGTTTTGCAGACGTAGACGCCAATGTCGTTAAATGAGCAGCGCTCAATGTGTATGTGTGCGTGTGTGTGTGTGWTTGAGTGTGTGTGGGCAGTTGCGGCAAAGTTAAAGCAAAAATCGAGTTACATATGCGAGTATGTCTGTATGTATGTGTGTTTGTATTTGTGTATGCAAGCCCTGCGGGAGTCGTGTCGTATAAGACAGAGGGGAAGCGGTGGGGCACCCATGGGTATAGCAGTGCCTGCCAAGAGCCGCTTGTAAAGACTTGGCGAATTCCTCAACAGGCAAAGTCTACCAGCACAGTGCAGTGTATAACAGAAGAAACAACTAAATTGGACGGCGACCATGGGGCGACATCATTTATAAAACTATCATGCGAATCATATGGGCAAAGGCAAATGATTTGAGCTGGCGGTTCCAGCCGCCGCGAAATCCGCTCAAAGCTAAATGAGCTACGGTTTCATTCTCTTGAATTGCTTTTGTGCTGTGCAGGAAGAGGATCATCTTTTTGAAAGAATAAACAACAAACTAAAAAGGACGCAAAAATCATAAAGTGGTTTCGAGCAAGTTAAAAAGCATATGGAAAAAACGCTCAAAACTCATTCATAGTGTGACACAGTGTGCGGTGTGGGTTTATCACAATAAAATTCCATATGATAAAGCTTAAGCAAAATGTACTTATGTACATCATGATATTATTTGCAATATATTATTATTTTAAAATCTATGTAATGCATTTGATTTAAATATTATAGGTATAGCAATTGTACTATTTCCCATGCTCGTCACTACTGCTCATTTGAATATCATAGATCACATACCACGGTGCGGCGAGACAAACGAAGACGAACACAGAGCACAAAAAGGGCAAACTGAGAAATCAAAAAAATGTATGCAAAAAACTCGCACACAAACGCAGAGGAACACTCGCACACAAATGCATTGAGTGATTTTGATTACGAGGAAAGAATAGGCGGCACACTAATACAAGCGTCGAACACTATGAAATTGCAGTAACAACGTGAATGGGAATGGAACACAACAATAGCAGCGGGAGCAGCAAGAGCAAATAAACTTCCAAAAAAAAGAGAAGTGGAATGAACAACGTGAAGAACTAAATTGTAAATCGAAATTCCAAGAAGTGCGGTCTGAGATTTGGTCGGAGGTTTGTTTTTTAAACGTCTGACGTCGACGGCGGCATTAAAAAAGTGCAAAAAAGCGTTTGAGATACTTTTACGCGCGCGCGCGAAAGCTAACGAGTGTGCGAGAGTGCGAGGGGTGTACCGGGCTATGATTGTGTGTACGTGTCACACATATATATGTACATACGTGTGAGTGTGTGGGTCTTTAGTGTGCGCGGCGTTTAGGACTTTTGCATACAAAAGAGGCGGAGAGGAGACGTGCAATTAGTGTGCAATAAAACGGACATAGAAGAATTTGATGGATAGGTAAATTATGACCATTTAATCCATTTGCATATTGTCAACATTGGTGTGTGAGTGTGTGTGTGTGTGCATATAAATTCCTGAGTATGTACGGTAGAAACTCTCTTAAGCGGATACTCTAGTTTAATAAAGGAAAATAAAGAAAGAAGAAAAATATGCAAATTATGTTATAATTATATTTTATTCAGATATTAATTAACAATGAATAAGTCTAACTATGTCTATTTTATTTTCAGGCTCAATTATACCAATTTTTTCATATAACGGAGATTTTACTGTATGTTGTGGTCGAGCTCCACATTGACATCCAAAAAGCTATTGCGAATTTGAATTGGAGATTGACAAAGGTGTTGACAGGCTTTTGGCATTGAAGGTATTTGAACTTTGCAGAGAATTTCGATTGAAGCGAGGCCATGGGAGTCCCGAAAAGTAGGGGAAATCTGAGAATGTACATAAGAAGCAGCGTAACATAGAAAAATGCTGATCAGAAAGAATGTTCGTCTGTGGGCACACACACACGCACACACGTGCGCAGGACAAACAGTTAGAAAGGGATAGGTGCGCGGGGAATGACCCTCGGTCCCGTTTCAATTCCCATACACAATCCTGTTCCTTTCGGGCCTCTGTCTGTACATATGTTCAATCAGCTGATCGTGCGTAGCCCGAAGGACATGCACATAACAGAGTAGAGAATTAGTCCTGCTGTTCTGTGGTATGTGTGTGACACGAGCAGAAGGAGAGGCACGGGGAACGAGCACAACGCGCGCGCAAAATTCCTTAACACGAGCCCAACAAAAACAACAACAACAACAACAGCAGCAGCAACAGCTCTGTGTGTTGTGTGCTCAGTGCGTGCGTGTGTGTGTGCCAACGTAAGACGTAGCAGGGGGGGCGCAGAGATTTCTTGCAGTCGCCGATGTGCATTGGCCAGGCAGATCGACGAAAGAAGTAGGTGAAGAGCGCATGAGCGCTCGGAATAGGTGCACAAAAAGGAAACGCGTTTTGATTTTTGCGCCAAAATCGCTGCCACTGTATATGTGTCAGTGTGAGAGCTCTGTGCCAGTGTGTGTGTGTATGTGTGTGTGCAGGACTCGTCTGATGGGTAGAGTTGTTTAAAAGGCACAAATGGCTAAATAATTTCAGTTAATAGCTTTTAGAGTACAACTTATTTACAGACGTTGCGGGGACGCAGCTTGTAATGTATACACATATGTATGTACATATATTTTTATGAATTTAATAAAAAATATAAATATAACTAAATATAAGTTTGACTTTTTGTTGTAGGAATAGTATTTAAACTTTTTTATTCAAAATTCGATATGGTATAAATTATATTGAAGCTACTTACAAGTCTGCATATCCCAACTAAAACTTTCACAAATTTATTTAAAAGCTTTCAAATGTCATTATTTAAAATGCTAGAAGTAGCCAAATGGCAGCTATAATGGCAACTCTGCTGCAGTGAGCGGCGCAATCTGTACGGGAATATGTATGCGTATTTATGTGCTGTTAATACATGTGTATTTGTGTAGCCGTCTGCGAGCCTGTTTATCTTTGAGCTCTGCTGCAGTCGCTGCTGTGATTTCTTGCAGTCTTTGTCGCTCCTCTGATTATGTGCAGTAGAGTCGTTGCTGTTGCTGTTATTGCTATTGTTGTTGTTTTTCTTGCTACTCGACGTTTGTCTTTTTGCCTCTTTGCCGCGCTTTGTTGTTGCTATTTTATGTTTCCTTCGCCGCCTCGCACTGTATTCGTTCCTTGTTCCTTTTTGCGCCTTGTCTACAAGCTGATTGTGAGAAATATTTTTCGTTACTTGACTTTCTGCTGTGCGTGTTCCTTCTGTCTGTCCACCGTCCGCCGTCCGTTGTTCGTCGTCCACAGTCTTATGTCCTCGTACCCATTGGCGGCCACCGCCGGATCCCACAGTCACAATTCTTCTGCTTCCCACCCATATCTCCACTGGTGCCCGCAGCTCCAGTTGCTTGCACACACTAATTGATTCTCTGCATAAATTTTATTTAAAGCTTTAATAAATGTCAAAATAAGCAATTCATTTCGATGTTAGAGAACGCATTCATTCACGAACACTCACACGCACACTCACACGGATCATTCACGATACATTCACCACATTCACATTCACATTCACATTCACATTCTCCAAATGAAGCTTTCACTGCGGCAATCAATTGCCGGGTTCAGAGTTTAAATGTGCTGCTGCTGTCGAAGAGCCGCCCGCCTGGCAGCCCATAGCAATCAATTCGTATACAAACATATGTCTACACACATATACATACATACATATGTAAGTATCTATGTATATGAGCTTACTCTGCATCCAGAGATCGTCTGTCACGTCACGCGACAAGCCCTGCACATTCATTGTGGGAGG